GTTAGGGCAATGATGAGTTATAGTACATTACCAGATTCGTTTTGGGGATATGCCCTACAAACAGCGGTATACATTCTGAATCGAGTACCTTCTAAATCAGTACCGTTTACACCATTGGAGTTGTGGTCTGGGCATAAGCCCAGTCTAAGACATCTCAGGATTTGGGGTAGTCCAGCACATGTGCTGAGAACCGATACTGATAAGTTGGAACCGAGATTAGAAGTAAGGCTGTTTGTGGGATATTCTAAGGAAACGAAAGGTGGTATATTTTATAGTCCCGTGGACCAGAAAGTAATCGTTAGCACGAATGCTAGGTTCTTGGAAGAAGACTATGTCTTAGATCATAAGCCCAGTAGTAGACATGTTCTTGAGGAGTTAAAGGGAGTGAGTACTTCAATACCGAGCGCGCTAGATTTACACCACATAGTACTGCAACACGTATCGCTGATGATGCACCTGAGCAGGTAGTACCTCGTCGTAGTGGAAGGGTTGTCCTACAACCCGAACGGTTCATGGGTCTGGGAGAGTCTTCTGAGGCCGTCCCGGACGTTCTTGAAACCGACCCATGGACATACAATGAGGCACTCCAAGATCGGGACGCAGAGTCTTGGCAAAAGGCGATGAAGTCTGAATTAGAGTCAATGGACACTAATCAGGTCTGGGATCTTGTAGAGCCACCCAGTGGCGTTCGAGCCATTGGATGCAAGTGGGTCTATAAGAGAAAGAGAGGATCAGATGGGAAGGTTGAGACCTTCAAAGCTAGGCTTGTTGCGAAAGGGTACACTCAGAAAGAAGGGATTTATTATGAGGAAACCTTTTCGCCGGTAGCCATGCTCAAATCCATTAGGATTCTCTTGGCTGTGGCCGCTCATATGGATTATGAGATTTGGCAAATGGATGTTAAGACCGCTTTCTTTAACGGGAATTTGGACGAGGACATCTATATGCAGCAACCAGAAGGATTCATTGCAAAGGGCCAAGAGCATCTGGTCTGCAAGCTGAAGAGGTCCATTTATGGGCTGAAGCAAGCTTCGAGGTCTTGGAACATCCGTTTTGACGAGGTTGTCCAATCGTATGGATTTACCCAATTTCCGGATGAGCACTGTGTACAAGAAAAGTGATGGAAACGTGGTGGTGTTTCTAGTACGTGGATGATATTCTTCTCATTGGAAACAGTGTGAAGATGTTGTCAGACGTAAAGGTATGGTTATCCAATCAGTTTGATATGAAGGATTTGGGTGAAGTAGGACATGTTCTCAGAATCAAGGTTATTCGCGACCGAGAGAAGAGAAAGTTGTGCCTATCCCAATCCACATACATAGACACTGTCCTAAAGCGTTTCAACATGCAGGATTCCAAGAAAGGGGATTTGCCCTTTCGGCACGGAATACCTCTATCTAAGAGGATGTCCCTGAAGACGCCTCAGGAGATAGAGGACATGAAGACAGTTCCTTATGCATCGGCAGTAGGAAGCCTCATGTATGCGATGTTGTGCACGCGACCTGATATTTGTTATGCCGTGGGCATGGTAGCAAGATATCAGAGTAATCCAGGGCCGGAACATTGGTCTGCGGTAAAGCATATACTCAAGTACCTTCGTAGGACTAAGGAGTATATGTTGGTATACCAGGCAGATGAGTTGCTTCCATTGGGTTACACCGATTCTGACTTTCAGGCAGACCGGGACGAAAGCAAGTCAACCTCAGGGTTTGTGTTTACTTTAGGAGGAGAAGCCATTGTATCGAGGAGTGTCAAGCAGAAATGCGTGGCAGACTCAACCATGGAGGCTGAGTATGTAGCAGCCTCAGAGACAGCGAAAGAAGATGTCTGGCTCAGGAATTTTCTCCTCGACCTTGATGTGGTATCGAGTTTGCCCGCTGCAAATCACAGTGTTCCGTGATAACAGCGGAGCAGTAGCAAATTTAAAGGAACCACGGACTCATAAAGCAAGT